TCTCTCTCTCTCTCTCTCTCTCTCTCTCTCTCTCTCTCTCTCTCTCCGTAAAATCCTCCACCACATCGCTTCCTTCCAGCACAAACTCCTCAAGCAGAGAGCGCACCTGCTCTAGGTACTCTAGCACCACCTCTGGGGTGTTGGGTCCGTACTGCACATAGCCACGCCTCTCCAACTCACGCATGTACACAACACACATACACACACATAAACATACATCTACACACACATACACACTCACACACTCACACACATAAACATACACATATACATACACATTAAATACACTAAAACACACACATAAACACATACACCTTTATACACAAAAGCATGCATACAAACACATACACAAATGCATACAACACATACGCACACATACACACACATAGCAAACATACACACTTATAAACACACAGGCTACTGACTGAAATGTCGTTAGGCCATCCGAAAGGGTTAACACTTACGCAGAGTAGAATTATAAGTGGACTGATTTATCAATGGCATACTCATACTGTGCCGGAACAATACAGGGGGAACTGCTGCGTTTTCTTTCCTCATCCTATAATATCGTAATTTTTTCCCCAACTTCCTTATTATGTTTGTCACTCTCTTATGAACTGTATATCAGTTGTGCTTTGATATTCGAAGTAGACTTTGTGCTGTTGAGGCTAGAGAGGTGAGCAGAGTAAGCCTGATTCCCCGTATGGACTTCTCTTTTGACAGCTACCCCTTGGCGCTTATTTATTATGACCTTATGCAGTTGCGGGCGTCGTAAAACCTTACTAAAACTAAACTAAAACAAAACTAAAACTAATCCCTCACCGTAAAAGCCTCCACCACATCGCTTCCTGCCAGCACAAACTCCTGATGCAGAGAGCGCACCTGGTCTGGGTACTCTAGCACCACCTCAGGGGTATTGGGTCCGTACTGCACGTAGCCACGCCTCTCCAACTCACGCATGTAGCCCTCGGCACAGATGATGTTCTCATTGTCCCTCAGTCTCTCTCGTAGTCCTGGGAATGATGATGATGATGATGATGATGATGATGATGATGATGATGATGATGATGATGATGATGATGATGATGATGATGATGATGATGA